ATATAACCTCATAAAATTAGAAAAATCGTCATATCTCGACGGAGAAGCAAAATAGGCCAAAAATACCGATTTCTTACGAGTATCCTAAACGGGAAATAAAATATTGAGACGCACAAATTGAGGTGTCGTTTGTTATGATTACATAACCTCAAATTCGTATTTGCGGTCTATCTTTATGAAATTGGAGTTATAAATTACGAAAAAATTGCAGGATACTTTAAACATCAATGCAGGTGTGCGCGAAGAAATTTTAAGTGTTTTCATGACAACGTAACCTCAAAAAATTAGAAAAAACACCACATCTCGAAGGAGAAGCACTATAAGTCGAAAATACCAATTTTTTTGGGTTTACTAAAGGTGAAAAAACAATCGACGCGTACAATTCGGTTTGATGAAAACATGATTTTCAGCCATTTCAAGTACGAAATTTTTTTTACTTGTTTAATGTTATTGAAAGAAATTTACTTATTTAATTCGTAGCAATAACACATATGATTGCTTCTCATATAGTTTTCTGTATAAAATGAGTTCAGTATTTGATACTTGAAGTTTTACTTCTATCGTGGGTCCCACGACCCATTTTTTGCTTTTTTATTTTTACTTTTATTTATAAATGTTTGCTCTTTTCATCTACGTTTAAAATTTTTATCAATGAACTCTTATGAGTAACTGTTGCTTATAAATTGCTCCTTTACTCTAGTAATACTTTTTTATATCATTTGTTAGACAGTGGTATAGCTCAATTAATTGAATATTATGTAAAATATTTTTTTTCGGTTTATTGGATAGCCTGGTGGTTTAAGCTAAACAATAAATTAAAAACAATTTAATACACAGCAACTATAAACTTGTTTCTCTAGATGTTAGTTCTTAATTGACCAGTAGTATTTTAGATTTAGTTCTAAATAGCAACGATCAACGTACTCAAAAGTTTTTACAAAAATCCAAAATACCCATAGAAAGAATCAGAGACTGCATACGGTTTTTATTTGACAATACCTATTTTCTCTTTAATAATAATTATAACAAACAAATCTTCCATACCCCCATACCCTCTCCAATTTCTTCTTTGTTTGTTGATCTCGTAATGGATGACCTAGAAAGTGGCTGTTTAATGATACTAAAAGAAAAACTTTACTATACACCTAATTTTTACTTTTTATATAATAACAATATAATACTTCGTATAAAAAAGACCATGTAGATTTAGTTTTAAATTTTAAATTTATACTACGAAAAATTCAAATTCACTTATGAAATAAGGAGCAACAAAACTCATAATTTTTTAGATGTAACTATTATTAAAAATAATAAATAATAACTACCTTCAATACGATTGATTTCAAAAATCTTTGTCCACTGGACGCTTACCAAATTATTTTTTGCGTCATCTAATAATCCTAAAAAAGAAAACTTATTTATTTTAATCGATCGAATTAAACTTCTATCTTGCAAATTACATTACAAGAAAAACATTACCAAGAGTAAAAAAGCTACTTATAAGTAACAGTTACCCACAAGATTTTATTGATAAAAATATTAAACACAAATTAAGAGAAAAAAACATGTATAAATAAGAATGAAAATAAAAGTAATCACACAACCTTAGTTTCACGTTGTAAAATACACATACCACACTAAGTTAAGAAGCTACTATAAATTATTTGTGATATTAAGACCTTATAGTATATCTACCTACTCAATTATACATGAGAAATTGAACAAGATTGTACAATTGGGTAAGAACAGGACTAAAAAGTGGGACAAAACAAACTCAGTACGTAAGTTTATATGCAAGCATCCAGGCTACTCGGCATCATATACGAGTGGAACAAAACGAGCATAAAAAACTCGAATCAATTATCACAAAGATAACAACAACAAAAAATCTATGGTCTACTTGCACCAGCTTTACAATAATCATATTTTTGATGAGGACAATATAAAATTACTAGATAGAGAATTAAACTACCAAAAAAGGCTCATTTCAGAAATAATTCATATTAAACACAATAAACACAACATCAATAAAAAACAAGACGCACACTTGTTTAATCTTATATGTTTTCTATTACTAAAAAATTTCAAGCACCCGTAACTATTTTCCCTTTAAAATTGTGTATGTCCTGTAAAATCTGTTTTAAGTGCTCTGGTCCTTGGCCTTTTGTACATTAACTTCGTGGCCTGATCGTTAGTACTCCACTGTTTGCCGATGCATGAGCACATAATTGTCACAGTAAATATATGTACATATTTTTTAATTTTTACTTTACAATCTCTTTGTAAGACTTAGATCCTTGCAAGTTATAAGGAAAAAAATTTATGTATCATAGTTTATTGTGCCATTTCTGTAATGATGTGTAGTGGAAAAAAATTTTATACTTAAATATATAATATATCATATGTATTTAAAGCCAGACAAGATTGTCACCACAGCCAATGAAACGTTGCAAAATAAAGAACACTATATGAAGAACATAATATATGATTTATTACGTAGTCTTATTCAAACGGATTGCTGATTCCATGTTATTTGTATTTTATAAAATTTATTATTTATATTGAAGATGACTACACAATACGAAGTTATTTCTTAATCTTAAAAAAAACTTTAAGTGCATAGTTACATGTATATATATCTTGTGAAAGTTATTATAAAAGATGAAAACAAAAGGAAAATCTTATTACTTGTTAGGCTTTTTTAATAACAGTTTTCAAACAAAAGAAACAAACAAGTTTGAAGATAAGAGCTCATAAATAAGTTGTATCAATTGCATTCTAATAGCAAACCACTAATTTTGTGTTGCAAAAGAAACGTTCTTATCAAATAATAAATTTTCAGCTTGAGCAAGAAAAATCGCTTACAAAAGCCAAAAGTACTATTAAATGTTTTTTTTTTTTTAATATCTTTATGTTTTTCAGGTTTATTATTACATTTTTATCATCAACAAATGGATGCTTTTGGCACCCACAGCCCTACAATCTTATTTTCCTGGATTTTAGGTCATTTTTTTGAGTTTGTTTTGAAGCAAAAATTATTTTTTAAATAAATTAAAGTTCACCAAAGTTTAAAATACGAGATTATAGTACGTTCTTTGGGTAAGCATTATTTTTTTGATATTTGCATATGGGTTTTTGTAAAAATAATAATATTTGGTAAAGCTGTGAGTATAGGTCATGTGGAATACATGATTGAAAACTTATTGTATGATGACCATATATTCTAATAGTATACTAATATCATGTATTGATGATGTGAGTAAAGCACTTGTGTTTCGGAGAAAAAACGTCGGTTGTTTAAGGTCATCAAAGGTTGGCTTTCCACTGTTGCATTTAATTCTCCTTTTTTGTTGTAGTATTTGTAAAAGTGTGTTGATATACACGTTCAATGAGATCAGACAGGCATAAACGTTGATCCCTAGTCTTATCAGAGGAAAACTTAACGCCCGGTGGCAGCTTAGATTTTTGAGAGAATAGGTAGAATACTTTGTTCCTGCTACCGAGAGAAGTAAAGTCTCAGTCTGGTGGGTGTAGGAAATTTGTTCAGTCACGTTTTTTTGTTTACGGGGTACTGCTAGTTAGAATGTTTTTAACTTCATCCACATCATTACTGTCAACACTTGGGTGATCTAAGAGGTTAGTCACTGGCCAAGAGATCGGATAACGGCAAACGCGGCTGACTTCAAATGAAGTGGTGTACCATTTAATGATCGACCTTTAAGTCTTGAAAGTGGTGATTTTTCCAAACCACCTTTGTCAGCAGGTATTTAGTTCTACGATGTGAACGACTTTTATAGTGAAATTGTTTTAGATTTTGTCCGCGAGTTTATAAACAATTTTTCCTTTTGCGTGTATGGTCACAAGACTTAGGTAACGCTAGCCGATGTCAACGGCAATTTATTTATTCTATCATCATTGTCACCACTTGGGTCGAGATCTGGGACATTACAAAGAATAGCATTTGATGATCTAAAAATTCTATCTTCAATCTCAGTAGCCAAATCATCATTTTGTATTTTATTTTGCACCATAACAGCCTCAACCACAGTCAGTCTATTTTATGGGACTTTAAATTCAGAGGCTGAAGATAGAAATTATTAAAGAGATTTCAATCTATTTTTCATTTAATATCTAGATATAGTCAGTGCTTAAAATCTTTTCATACCTCCATTAAGCAGGTTAATCTCGTCAGAAAGTGAGCTATTAATAGTGTATATTTCGTTATTGAGTTGTGTAATCAGCTGGAGTGTGAAATATGTATACCAGATCCAACAGATTTTTTACAATATCGACAAACGTCTCGGTTGATGTGGTATCATTAGTTGTTCGTTGTAGGGTTGGAGTATGAACATTTGATAAAACTCACTTATGACAGAAAATTAGGAGATAGTCACATCCGTGACCAAAACAACTTAGTAGGCACCAACAGCAAACAACAAGAAGAAAACAGGCAATTAATGTCAACAACGAGTTATCGAGATAAAATATAATATAAGTGCAGCGAGTAGAAGACCATGTATGTATTATGCCCCAAATGCCATCTAAATCGTATGTAGTAAGCTATGATATTGTATTACATAGAATAGTATATTAGGAAATTACATATTGTATTACATAGAATAGTATACTATGTAGGAAAAATTTCTGATATTAACAATTTTCTTACTGTCATTAAGTTTTGTCATTTCAAATGAATAAAGACTTTAATATAATTCGCTAAAAAATATTTTCATAAGTACAATTTTTCTAGCATATTTAAAAACACGTTAAGTCCTAATAAAAGGCCACTGCAGATTGAAGCCTTATTCCAGTTCTGTTATTACGTTAATACAGTTTTATTTTGCATTGTGATAACTTAAGTTTTTGACATTAATTTTATGTTAAGTTGAGCGAGAGTTCAACTTTGTTCATTATACAAGAATTACACAATCGTCATTAAAGTACTACAATATATTTAGTCACAACTTTTGAAATAAGTCGTTTGACGAATAATTTCAATCTTATAATGGAATAACAATTGGAATTACATTAAATGGTTCCGACAATCCTCTACAGCACAACAAAACTTGTATTTTGTTTGGAGTACCACTCTTACATTTAGTTGTAATGTGAAATTGAAACATTGATGGAATATTGTAAGATAAATTTTGTAGCTTTGTGACTTTTGGTTCAACAACAGTATTTTTGTACTTGCATAGTAAATATAAGGAACTGCTTAGTAAGCTTTTTGTGATAACTGATACGGAAATTGTTAGATTATAATCTGGTCCAAGGCCTAGTAAACATGCTTCAACAGAAGTATGAAATATTTTCAATTTGGGTCTGCAAAAATCTGATTTTAAACACTTTTGTATAGTTAATAGGCGTATCTTTAAAAACCTTTGCTGGAAATCTGTGTGCATGTTAATAGCATTCGATCTCTCCCTTATAGTTTGCTCAATAAAAAGCCTTGTTTTTTTTGGTAAAATTAATTTTGAACCAACACTCATGCTCTGTTGTAAGTCTATTGTTGAATGAATACCAAAGTTTGCAGTCTGATTAAGAGTTTTAGTTACAAGTCCTCCATTATGAGAAATCATTACAATTACTTGTTTCTCTTCTCCAAGACCACCACACTGAAAAAATAAAAAAAAGTCTTAACTTTATTCCTTATAACTAGACTATTGGTTAATAAATAGTTAAAATTAGTTACTAAATTTATTTTTTTTAAAGTACAAAGTATATAACCTTAAAGCTAATTATATTCTTGACTTAACAACCTCAAATGATTGAAGTATTAATAACATACCGAGGTACTATTATGGCTTAGTTTTTATGCAAAAATAAAAAAAATCCCCATAACTTATAATATTAAGCTTATCATTTCAAATTAAAGTTAAATAAGTATGTATGCAAATACAAAATTACTTTAAATTTAAATTTAGACCTTCGTGCTAACAACTACGTACGAAAATTTTCAATATGTTAAGGGCTTTTATTTGTTCTGATACAAAAACTACCGAGTTATAAAATTGGTTTCCTAATAATAATTATAATATAGGGAAGTTAAAAAATAAAATCAATATAATAAAATTCAAGTAAGAAAAAAAGCAAGCACATGAAAATGAGCATTTCTCTGAATACTTTCCTATAAGACGTAACGGCATGTTTTATTTTAAAAAAGATAATGTTTAAAATACTATAATTTTTATCAAAATTGGGATCACGCACGCAACAGTAAGAAATTTTAAAAAATTTCATGGAAAAATAAGTTTGTCAGCCATGCTGTCAAGTTTCTTATATTCTTAAGTATTGTACAGTTTCCATTTTTATACTATGGAAGCTATATTCTTTAACAATAATTTTTTTCCTGAGGACAAAGACTTTCGTGTGTATAACAAAATACGTAAAATTATATTAATGTTGTTATGATCACTTGTATATGTGTAATTTTGTAGCGGTAGTCAATAGTACAAGTTAATAGTTTTTAATAAATCACTATACGCAACGTTTTGGTGGCTGTTTTCCACCTTTATCAGACGTCTGAAACAATTTTTTGAGTATAAAATACATACACAACAAAGTTCAGAAAATTGTCCCTATTATGAACCAGTCGATATAAGAATTACCTTTTGGTTAAAGTTACTGTAGAAATTACGCATAGTGTTTGTCGACATCCATAAAACACTTTAGGTTGTCAAGTCTAGTATGTAAACGATACAAGCATAATATATTTTGTGTTAGCAATAATGTATATCAAAAGTTGAATTTCTGAATCAAGTAGTGAAACGCAGTACCTTGTTCTTATCGCATAAACAGTAAAAACAATATGTACCATGGTAATACCTAATTGAACTGTGTGTAGGTAGTACAGTTATCGTTATATTTATATTATTATACAAACAGCAATGTATTGTTTGTGTATATAAGGATGCAATTTATATTAGATAGCACATCCAAAAGTCCAAACGATTGGTTAATTTACTTATGCTTTATATATTAGTATAGTAAATTTGAACTGCTTTTAAAAAAGTCTTTTGAAAAGAAATAAATTATGAAATGTGTTGCATCTAATTATTTCTTTTATTTGTTAATATCTCTACTTATATGTATAATATCCGAAGTATCACACCTTACCCTTACCCTTACAATTCTATCGTTCAATACTTTAATACTATTTAAGTACATAAAATGTTTACTTTCATTGCCCCAGACTTACTAAATAGAACACCGTAGTGTTTTGACATGTGATGTGAAACGTTTTCAGTTAGAAATTTTACACCTATTCCTGACACTTCTCAGATCAAAAATCTTCTCATTAAAAACATGTTTGTTCGAAATCCATACAGTTTATTTAAAAAAGATTAGGCTGTAAGATGTGAAAAAATTTAATTATGCTGAAAAATACCGTGCGTTCCTTATGCCATAAAATAATCGTTGGCCATAAGGAGCGGTTGATTTGCAGTTTCTCCCGTATAATTTACGAAAAGGGCTATTTTTGAGGTTGTTAAGATTAAAAACCCAAAAAAAATAGGTACTAAAAAATTTTTTTTCTATTATCTCACAACTTTATTACCAGAGCAACAAAGTCCTGGAGATTCATGTCTTTATTTTTTATTGACAAAAAACAAATACATACTCTACCTATTTAAAAATCTGGATTATTTAAGAAATTACTGTGAGGGTACTGATTAAAAAGCCGATCTCTCATGCAATGGATTCTTTATCTTTTAATTTTGACACTGCTGTTTTAATCTCGATAAATGATCTGCATTATTTTTTTGACGCCTCAAGTAGTATTCATTAGATGCACATAACATTGTTCTTTTAACTCGCCCTCTTACGACTTTTGATATAGTTAAGACTTTTGTGAGCCTTAAAGGCTGTTTTATGTCAACTTTATTAATTCTAATATATTTGTTGGCAAGGTCGTTCAACACCCAATGGCCCTAAAAAGGACCAGTGAGCTTCTTAAGTAAACTATTTCCTCATTAAAGTTTCCAGCAAACGTGACTGCCTGCATACTTCGGGGTGATCTTCTTTGGTCTGCTGTTGAAGCCCCAGACTGATCAGAAGAAAAATTATAAAGTCTGAAGCTTTGAAGCTAGTTGTACAGATCTTTCTTAACGTCACCTGGTACAACGTCGAAGACGATGGTGTCTAAAGCACCTTTTTTTTGCAGACTCAGTTGCTTTGGTGATCTAAGGTGGAGAGTTTGATTCGTGATGCTTGCCCGTTGGAAACTATCCCATTTGCTCACGTTTATTATTTTTTCTTCATAGCTGTTAGGTTCTCCCAACGCAGACCTTGGAGAGGATCTGTGATTTCTGGTTGAATGCTCAAAGTTGAGAGGGTAATATAGGGTCGTCAGTCTCCGGGATTCCCAGCCTTGCTACTAACAACTCTGCTCATAACGTCTGCCGGTAAATGACTGACTTGGTTTAATAGTGGCCGGCTATACATAGTCTTTGAGTTGACGAATCGTCTTTAGAAATCGTAGTAAAAATGTATTAGTTGGCACGGTAATTGAAACTTAGGTGGCCCTTAAGAGAACCGATGAGATTGATGTTTAAGTAGGGAACGTAAATACTTTCAATGGCCCTGAAAAGGGCCAGTGGTAAAACTACCAGCTGTCTTTATTATATTTCTTGATGATGAAGAGCTGGCTGCAGGGGTCTAATTGCGTGCTTTAGTATATGCAATAGCTTTTGAGGTTTACAGTCATTATCTACCTATAAACATTAAAAAGATAACTTTCTGTTACGTTTACGTCATAAGTTTGGTGGTGTGACGGTAAATCTCGAATCGTATTGCGTACATCGAAGCACACAATTATACTTCTGGTAGCTTGACTATTACCCTCGAAATCTCTAAGTACGGAGACTGTGATGGAGGGAGGTACTCCGCTGATCAAAGAATATCTCGTTTTCGGGCCGTCCCAGGATAAACAACCACCCAACGATAGTCGGAAAAGTGGGTCAAGAGAATACCTTGTCTGTGGGTCTGCCATTGGGACGATCACTGAGAAGGAAGCCATTGTGGCTGCCCGTGCTCCTCAGGGCTGTCTTCCCTCGCTTGCATTTGTAGAAACAAATTCCCTAATGGCAAAAGGCCGTATGGTGGAACAGCCACATTACTCTGAATAGTTGGGGCAGGTTGTCCTCTGGCTAGACAAGTCTCCTGGTATTCCACCGGAGACATTATCGGTTAAAAAATTTTTTTTTGGTGGCACTCATCAATCCTAAAGATTCAGGGTGGAAGTAGACCTAGGTCACTTGTCCATTGGAGAAGAGCGTCATCGGTAACCATGACATACCCAGCTGCTCAACTAACATTTTCATTCTCGATGCAGTTTGTTGTACTGCCAGCAGGCAACGGCAAAATCTTTCGAGATGCTCTGGCTTATTAAAACCACACCTATTTGATTCTGTTGTAGGTAGCTTCGATTTTATGTCGACACCACCTAGCGGATTCTACTGAACTAATGTGAAAAGCTGGCGTATTTTTTAAAAACTTTGAGCTTATTTATTGCTATCGTTTTCATATTTTTAAGGGTAAAAACTATACTAAAACCATCTAGGAAGTGTCAAGAATGGGTATACAAAATTTCAGCTAGATCTGTTGAGTAGTTTTGCGGTTAGCGATTACAACGGTTAAAGCGACTTTGCTTCATACATTAGTAAGATGAGAACTTCATACTTCAACTTTTATGAGCTTGGGACTACACATATTATAATTTCTACTTCATTGACTAGTATATTCCTGCTGACAACGGTGACAACTAATTTAATGCATTGTATAAGGTTAATAAGTTTGTTTTGTGTTATCCGTTCCTTACACTTATATATAAGACTATACCATTTACAATTGAAAATCCAAACTACTCCTAATGCTACTATACTCATAGCCACTAAAAAAAGGTATATAATTGGGCATATGCAAACTATCACATGATATTCTTCTCCCTCCATAATAACCCCACACCATCACTTACAAGGTCAATACACACAGCTACAAGCATTTAACTCAATCAATGATGAAAAAGTTTTAGAAAATTAAAAAACATGCAACTACTGCAAAAGTTACGTCACTGGAAAAAGATGTATGTTAAAAAAAGGACAACAAAAAATTTGGCTAATAACATCAGGAAGTGACTCAGATTCCTTTGAAGGAAAGATTAGGAGAAACTAGGAATTTAGTACTAAAATCTTTTCAAAACAGACAATAAAGACCAAAACAATTTTACTCTATATTAAAACACAAACACCTTGTGTATCAATCAAGTTAATCAAAACCAATCGACTCTTATCGTTATAATCTTTCAAGACACCATTTTGCACCTGAAAAATACCAAAACTGGAGGAATTAAAAAACTTAGATGTATATATATATACATATATAATACAGTTTTTATGAATGATTCTTGGAATTTTACAACATAAACAAGAATTACTTATAGACACATCTTGTTTGATAGAGAATGGAATATTTTGTAAATATTAAGTAAAATCTAATAACAATAAAAAATTTTTTTAAATTGAGAGCTAACATAATATTTTTATTGCGTATTTTAACATTCCTTCCATTTTTTTACCCATCAAACACACAGAGCACTACGGAAGCCCGGTAACAACAT